GGAAGAAGAACACGCCACACGCACAAGGGCTCCTCAAGGCTGGGCCCAGGTCCATGTGACGGAGAGACGCTGCAAGGGCCCGAGGGCTTAGGCTGACAGCCGCCTTTGGCTCGGGAAGGGAGACAGCGGCAGCCGAACGGAGGGCAAAGGGTTCGTCCGCCTCGAGCGCCACTTCTTCCTTCAAGAAAAGCTCGTGCCTCCCGGCCGCACACAGATCGCACTACCCGGACACTCAAGGCGCTCTGGCAGAGCGGGAGGGCACACACATCCAGCACTTACACGGGGCAGCGCGTGTGTCCGCTGGAAGCGGCTGTCGGGGCCAGGGCTGCCCATGCGCTGCCGCCTGGGGCGGATGCCCTGAGCCGCTGCTGCAGCATTGCCCTCTTCCCCTGCCCCTGCTCCACAGGAATCGCTCGGCGCCACATGCCCGAGACGGGTGCTGCTCCTGGGCCACAGGTGTCCCAAAAGGCCGGAGCTCAGCAGCTCAGGCCCAGCTTCACAGGTGGGACTGCCAGGTCCAAGCTCTGGCACTCCAGGTGGGGCTGGAAAAACCCCAGCCTGAAACCCTGCAGGGATGCTGCCAGACGGTGCTGGCAGCACTGGGTTAGGCAGGCCGTGGCCTGACGCAGCTTAAGGCAGCTTCTGCTGCCCTTCTCTGCCGGCTGCTGCAGTTGGGCGAGGCAGGGAAGGGCCTGATCTGGCAAGAGAGTTCTAAGGACTTATCCTGTGGAAACTTACACATAGGCAGGCTGGATTAGGACCATCCTGCTACAATCAGCACAGACCTGGGAGGACTATTTTTCTGGGCTGCATCCGGCCGTGGGGCCCTCTTCATCTGGGAGAGTGGCATCTTCAGGAGGCATCCGGAGACCTTTTATTGGGGTGCGAGGGAGGAGCGACGTGGGGACAGCGCACAGAGCTTGCACATGCAAAACCCGGTGATTCCGTCCAGGGCTACTCCTGCTGAGAAGGATCCTGGAGCAGCCGCTGGCCACAGCCCGGGCTCCATGCACTCATCCTGGCCTAGGGAAAGCCAGGCCCATATGGTTTTTCTGCTCAGAGAAGCCAGGAGCCCAGGGGGAGCCCAGGGGAAGCTGTCCAGGCGGTCAGCCGGACTCTCATTATATTTTAAAGTAGCAGCGTTTTATATTAACACACATACTTATTGCCCCGCCGGAACAGCATCTGCTGTCCTTTCATGCGTCCAACAAATGACAGTGAATTACACTGTAAAGGAAATACACACGCAATTCCCCGAGTGCATGGGAATCCAGTGTCAGACTGCGGGGCAGGAGATCCAGGTTCTGGACCCAGGTTCTCACTCACTCATGAAGCTCACTGGATGACTTGGCGCCAGTCACTGACTCCCAGCCTGGCCTGCCTCGCAGGATTGTTGTGAGCTGCCTTGGGTTCCTTGCAAGAGGGAAAAGGGCAGGACGCCAGTGCGAGAAATAAGCAAACCTGCTGCCCAAGCTGAGGGGGCAGCCCAGTGCCAGCCACACAGCATCGCTCCGATTGCACCTTTTGACAAAACAGCTCTTGCCGCCAACTCGTGCCAAGCCAGGGCTGTAGCCCACCCCACTTCCAGCTCCGGTGCCCGTGGGGCATTCAGGAGTGCCCCAGAAGTTCAAGCAGCCCACCCAGGACTCGCCGGCACATCAAATGAAGAGCCTGAGAAGAGCCCTGCAGGGTCACACAGGTGCCCGCTTTCCCACAGCAGCCAGACATGCACCTCCGGAGATGTTCTTGCGCAAGGCACACGGGCAGCGGCCTCCACCCCACTGGTGCCCCAGCAAGCGGCAGAAAGGGGTGCCTCCGAGACGGGAGGCAACCTGCCGCCATTTGGGCTAGTAGCCCCCGGCAGCCTGACTCAGGCTCAGGCTGCAAACCCTTGGTACGGCACAAGCGGAAAGAAGGTGACGCTCCCAGTCGTCCTTGGTAACAAAATGCACTCTTCTGCTTCCCACCCGTGTGGGTCACGGGGGTTTCCGCGAACCCTCATCGCTTACCAGACCAGGCTGCTCCAGCAACGTATCTTTAAAGGAGCCCCCCTGTCAAATATCCTGCACACACACCGAGGAGTCTGAGGCCCCGCGTGTGAGCGAGGCCCCGCGTTCAGCCCTTACATCTCACTCAGCGCACAGAGTGACTCGTTGGCAGTGGAGGCTGATGCAGAAAACTATGCTTTGTAAGCAGCCGAGGCGAGCGAGAACATGCCTGCGCCGTGCGCCTGGTGTGCGGCAAATGAATTCTGCTTGGACGGCGCAGAAGAGAGACATCCGTCCCAACGGGCTCCACGCGGCTCCATCTCAGGCAAGTGTAGGAAGCTGGCGGTGGCTGCTGAGCACTCGCCCCTGCAAGCCACTCTGCAGCTCAGGGGCGCTGCGAGGCCCGTCCCGCACGGAGAACAAAGCCGCTCTGAGGATTCACACGCGTGATGCTTTGACCATCATTCTTCCTTGCCTCCCTGTGTGCTCATTGTCCTCTTTACAGCTTTCCGGAGTGGGACCTTGATCAGCTCCCAACGCGGAAGAAAGGGTTCTTGGTGAAATCAATCTTACGCGAATAGGTTGGCTGCAGCATTTTTCAGGCCCTTCAGGGCCGTAACTAATGGCAGACAATGGCGACCCGGCGACTCAGTCACAGAGAATGAAGCCGCACTGGGAAGAAGAGCTGAAGGGGGGAATCGAAAGCCCATCTTCCTGCGGACACCCAGAGCACCACCTTTGCTCTCGCATCTTGCACACCGGGGTTGGCGACCGAAGTTACCAGAAGCCACAGCAGCCGGATGCACGAGTGTCTCATGTAAGCAGTGGACTGGGCTGTTTTGCAACATCAGAAGCCAGATCTGTATGCGCACAACCAGCCCCTGGATTTGGATCTTCCACAGTCTCCCTTCCCCACCCGATAATTAAGTTTCGCTCTGGATGCGTGGGCAATGTTAGCGGATGGTGCTGCTTGGGCGGCTGGGAAGCACCTCTGATGCATCCCCTGGTTGGAGCCATCCCCCCGTCGTGGCAGATGGCTCCCTGGATCACAATTCCAGCCCTGTGGCACAGCGCCTGCTGAGGAAGAGGAGTGCTTCTGCCACTAGCAGCGGCAAAGGCGAGTGAACCGAGTGCTAGTGCAGCAGCTCCGCACAGGCAGGTGTATTTGTGCTTGTGGCCGAAAAAGCAGAGCTTTAGGACCTAGGAGGATCCAATCAGCAGGAGCACTTACTCTCAAGGAGACACACCACAAAATCTCCACAGGGCACAAGAAGTTTCATTGTGTAAGAACACACACGCTCCAGTTGCCGCCCCAGCCATCAAATTCCTTGTGAACCACCGAAGCATTTTTAATGTCCTTGTTTTTATACTTTTACATTGTTGCATATCACCTTGACAGCTTTTAGATGAAGGGGTGCACTGATGCTGGTAATAAATAACAAGGTGAATACTAAAATGAATCTGAAGGCATCTACCAAAACACGGGGGATTGAACTGGAACACACTGGGAAAGCTCAGGTTGCAGCAAACTGGCACCACAAACACGCTCACTACACCCGAGCCGAGAAGTGCATCTGCATCCTTCCTGACAGCACCCTCTATGGTTTAAATCCAACCCAGGCTGCAAAAGCTTTTGCAAAACCCAAGGAACTGGTTCTAGAGGGTGGAAAAACGTAGACCTGAATGTGCCAAGACTCAGAAGCTGATCGTGCAGCATCAAAAGGAACGGAAGCAGAGATAGTTTGCCTTGGTAAGATGCTTCGCTGCGTTGTAACAACAGAAATATTCGTGCAGATTAATGACTAGGTTTGGCTCTGCTTGCCAGTCTGACAAATAGCCCTCGCTCAAGACCAACTGCGCCAGCCTGTATTTTCATGTGGGAAGTTGGTTGGGGTGCGGGTGGATTCGATCAGTCAGACCACTGGGAGCGAAGTAGCCCTGAGGTTTGCCCTATACTGACACTTTAAAAGAAAGAGGCGGAGAGGCAGTGAAAAAAGCTCCTGGAGCAGGAACAGGGAGAGAAGTGTCCTGGTCAGCTGAGGTCTAATTTTCCCTTCCCTCCCAGGCTGGGGCAGGGAGGAGGGGATGCTCTTCCTGCAGCTCTTTAAGTATCACAGTATTCCTGCTTCTCAATGCATTTACACAGACGGGGCAAGCCATACCTCAGCCAGCAGAATCTTTACAGAAACCTTTATATCTGCCTTTCCGACCCTGCTATGAGATCCATCCAACTGGAAAATCAAATTTCAATAAATGTAATATAGCTAAAATTAACCTTTACCCTTGTTAAAAACAAAACGAGACAAAACAAAATGAAACAGCCAATACAATTCTAACAAAAGTCAGTTGGAAATGTGCAGGTATCTAAACTGAAGGCGAAAGGACAATATAATTTTCACTTGGAGTCTGAATACCCTTGGGGAAAGGCCAGCTAAATCTCCAGGGACAAAGGGCTCCTAAGCTGTGGTACCAGGGAAGGCCCTGCCTTACACACACACACACACACACACACACACACACCACATGCCTCCATTTCAGACATGGACAGAATCACGCAAAAACATGCAGTCATATAAGTGCTTTGGTCCATACTGCCTAACTTCCAGAAACCCAAAATTCTAGTCTTATCCAGTACTTTGCTCCCTCTGCCTCTAGGATTTCTCCAGGAGTAGTTCTGAGCAGCCATCCTCACCCCCTCCCCACAGCGACTCTGTTCCACGCTCTTCCAGTCTCTCCCGCAACAGTGCCAATGCCCGAGAAGGGGAACCAGGGCACTGTGGGGAAGGGTGAGAGGCGGGGGCCACTTTTCCACTCTTGGCACGATCGCATCATGTGACTTAGAAATGCTTTTTCCTCTCAGGGTTCAGTTTCTGCTGTCCTACATGTGAACTTGCCAATATTTACCAATATGGCAGGATACCCATTCCTGCTCGCACACTTTTCCCAAAGAATTCAGACTGGCATCTGATGGGAAGAGGCGAGACACACTGTTTTATCCTGGTTTAGGCTAACCTGATCCAAGCGGAGCGCACCGTCCATGAAGCGCTGTTTGCGCAACTGCTTGGCGATTCGGTGAAGGTTGAGGACTGCCTGCCGGACTTCTTCCACCGAGTGTTGGGAGGAGATCGGGGGGAGCTCCCCCACTGCAAACGCTTTCTCAGGGTTCTCAATCATACTTTGGGCATGGTCATAGCTGAGCTTCGCGCAGGAACGGATCACGGTCCGTCCAAACCATTCGTCAAGAATCTGAAACAGCCAGAGGACAAACAAGGAAGGTGAAACAGCCCCAGGCCTCTTCAGGAGGAAGCGCAGCTCAAGGAAAAGAGGGTGAACTTAATCATGCCTGAGGAGCTTTAAGGACATATGCTGAACTGCAGTTTCGGGTTTCCTTACTGGATGGGGCTGACAGGAGTTGATATCCAGATGGTCTGGAGGGCACCATGTGAGGAAGACAGTGCTACTCTGTGCTACACGCTCTCCCCTTCATCTCTTGTCTCCAAGAGACCCAGTTTAGCTGCTCTGGGCAAGAGTTAGTGATAGCTTCTGTCCACCATGGATTCCTCTAATCCCCTTTTCAAGCAACCCAAAATGGTACTTCTCCTTTATCCATGACATGGACTATAGGAAACAATTCTAAATTTCACCCACCAAGATGAGTATTAATGAAGAACAAAGAGTAGCAGCAAAGGCCCTGCAAAGCTTTTTATGCAAAGTAACCACCCAAGAGCAGAAGAACATGAATGTCACTATGCAAATCTCCTTGAAAAAAGGAGACCCAACATGCGGGGCCAGGGGCTGGGGGGAGCACAAGAGGAAAGAAAGACCTGACCTCACATCCTAATCAGTCTTGCTCTGGGGACAGAAGAAAGGTGGGCGGGCAGTATAAGGCCTCCTCTCCTGCTGCAAGGGGTAAGGCGGAACTGTGAGAACTGACCCATTTCACACATCCCAAGCCTCCTGCATTGCCAAATGAACAAGCAGCCCTTTAAAAAGGTGGAGCAAGAGGCCCTTCGTACCAGGGAGAACAGCACACAGTCCTTTGTTCTCAATGCAGTGGCAGTGCTCTCCTGCCCCCTCAGACGGCAAGATCTTCGATACGCTCAACGGGCCATGTTCATGTGCACCTTCTACCAATCGATAGGGCACATGACGGAAGGAGAGGCTCCAAGGAAAGAGGAGAAAACTGCTCCCTCTCCACGGGGAATTTCCTGCCATCTCCCTAAACATTAGGCCATCCGTCAGAGGGAGAAAAACAATTAGCTGCCTAATGAGGAATAAACAGTTCATATATCTGCTGCATGTAGCCTGGCCAGGCATGTTCCTCGGGTCCCCTCCTGGAAGCCTTCTGGAAGTCAGAATGAAGAATTGTGCAGCTGGAGACAGCCCTGATTGCCTGCGTCCCTGTGAGCGCCTCACAAAGGGAGACGGTGCCCTCGCAGCACAACGCATTAAACAGCTCTTAGTCATTACCTCCGTCTTCTTTCTCTCCTCCTAATCCCAGGTTGGCAGTAACAGCTACATTAAGCCACGGTCCTCATTCGTCTTGGCCCATCCCGTTAAAGCTCCACACAGGGCCACATCTCGAGGCTATTAGCCGCATTAGCACTGTTGATCCACACATGGACTGATTCCATAAATCCAGGCAGATTTAAGTTAGAAGGCCTGTGGCGTGGCCCAGGGAGGAATTTCCCGTCAAGAGCTGCCCTCCAGAACCAAGGGCAACCAGGGAGCAGTCTTTGAGCAAGGTGCGATTTTTACTGCCTAAGTGGAATCCACTGCAAAACATGAAAGTTGCAGGGTCGCAATTCAAGTTGGGGGGTTGAGAAAGAGTCGGGAGCGGGGTGGGGGGGCAGAAGGTGTTGAGAATAACAAGGATAACACTGGTATCACTGCATACAGAGCAGCCCTTCCCAACCCAGGTGTGTTGGACCACAGTTCCCAGAATTCCAGAGGCTGCAGCCCGACAGGAGGAATCCAGAACAAGATTGATCCATGGAGAAGGGATCTACTCAGGGCTACTAATCAGCTATGAAAGGTGCATGGAACCTTTCAGCATATCATTGAAAATAAGGTGTTGGGAGAAGACAATAGTGGAGGAGAGCTCTTTTTTCCAGTCCCGTTTGTGACCTTCCTGGAGGCAGGTGCAGCTGCCATATTCCTGGACACTCCATAGAATCACATAACAGTAGAGCTGGAAGGAGCCGTGAAGGCCAAAGGGTCCAGCCCCCTGCTGTTGCCGGACACCAAGCCACACCGTCCCACCCCGACGGCTGTCCAGCAGGAGGAACTTCTGGTCCAGCTTGGTATTTTGCTCCCCTGGTTCATCAGTGCAAGATCATAAACCCACAACAAGGACCGAGGTGCTGGCCCATGGTGTGGGGCTGGGGAAGAATCGAAATCCATTAGTTGTCCAATACGGTCATCAGAACAACCAGAATTTGCTATCTTTCAAAGTCTCCAGAACTTTTCACCCACTTAACAAGTAGGGGATGAGGCAAGAAAGAGAAAAATCCTTACACCTGGCAGCATCTGTTTCTCCCTTCCCTCCTGGGCAATTCAAACGCTTACACGTGTCGCACAACTCCAAGGTTGGGTGACCTACACCAGGGGCTGCAAAGACAGCGCCGGACTTACCTTCCCTTCTGGAGTCAGCTTCCAGATGACTGAAAAGGTGAGTCTGTCAGTCAGGGGGTTGAGGCTGCACAACTCCTCACACAGCAGCTCCGGAAGCATGGGGATCACCTGGCGGATAAAGGAACGTGCGTGAAGATGCAGCTGTTTTCCCCAGAAAAGCACAATCTGGCGTCTTTTAAAGAGGGACTGAAGTTAGTGCCACTCACAGCATCCCCTCCCCACCTGTGTCCTCGGCACTGCATGACGGCTTCCTCTCACGAGTGCCCATACAAGACAGCAAAACTCAGAACACGCACTTTTGATATTGCTCATGTGCCTTTTTCCCTGGCCACTGGCAAGAGGCAAAAGCGAGCACGCATGGAGATGTAAGTCACCCTGCAAATTGCTGCAGTTGATAATTCTGTATTTCTGTGCCTCCTTTTCCCCTCTTGTGAAGAACCAAAGGAGGCTTTCGTCACTCCATTGGATCCTCACAACAATGCAAACTCTGGCTTGACTGGCCCAATGTCACCTGGTGAGCTCGATGGCCAAGCAGGGGCCAGAACTGGATCTCCTTGGTCTCCAGCCCAGCACTCTTGCCTCCACCCCAGCCTGGCCCTCACACTTGTCATACAAATCACACCTCTGAGGTCTTAAGCGAGGTTTTAAGGTTCATCGATTGCTTAATGACAATTTGCACAAAGTCATCTTGGCACTGCAGCTATGACGACATCTGCAGCAGAAGACGCTTCTGAAAAGTCAATGAAGGCCGTCCAAACCTAGAACAAGCATGATGATTCAAGATCGATCCCACTTCAGTTAGCTGACGGGTGCCTTCAAGGTGCTGCACTGAGCAGAGGAAGTTAACCCTGCTATCCAAACCCAGCCCACACTTGACCCAGTTTACTACAGAATTTTGCCAGGCGATGCAAATATACACCCGCACTTGTGTGCATGGATTTATGGACCAGAACTTTTGTCCTGGGAGGAAAAGAGCAGCTCAAACTCTTCTGGATAATGTGGAACCTCATTTAGACTAATAGGGAGTAATCTTGCTCGTATGATTAGGGGTGCTGAGTACAGCTTTTGGAACAGGGAGATGTCCAAACTCGCCTCCTGCTATGGGAAGGCATCCTTCTTCTGAATCCCAGAAAATGGCAGGCACAGTACTTCGAAACTCAAAAGCGCATGACACCTCCAAGTCAGGGTAGTCCAACACCACCCCAGGGCCTTGATGGCGTGGGCTTAAATCCAGCATTGCAATGTGCCATCCAGTTGTCTCCAGATCCTGGCAACCCTATGAATGCAAGCCCTCCAAAATGCTCTATCCATGGCAGCCTGGAAACACAGACACAGGGCGAGTCAGAAGGGGTCCTCCCAGGCCATCTAGTCTGACTCCTGGCTCCAGCCGGCTCCGCTCGCGACAGGCCCCCGTGCTTGGCTCTTGCAAATTCCAGGCTGTGGCCTATTATTATTATAACATTTCTATGCCGCCCCTCGCTGAAGCCTCGGGGCGGCTTACAACACAATAAAATACACTGAAATACAATGGCACATAATAAATTACCATTAAATACAAAAATACAAAAAATACATTGAGTTAGGAACATAATAATATAAAATTAAAATTATCAGTATAAAATAAGTAAATAAATAATATAGGAGGAGAAAAGAGAAGGAATAAGAAGTTGCCCTGGCCAGATCATATATTTTAACAATTAAAATGATGTTTAAATAAAAAGGTCTTTACCTGGCGCCGAAAAACCAGTAACGACGGTGCCAGGCGGACCTCTTTGGGGAGTGAATTCCATAGGTTGGGCGCCACCGCAGAGAAAGCCCTCCTCCGGGTACTTACTCTCCTAATTTCTTTCATGGAGGGTTCCCGGAGAAGGGACTCTCCCGCAGATCTCAAAGGGCGGTCGGGCATATACGGACGTAAGCGCTCGTTCAGGTAGCCAGGACCCAAGCCGTTTAGGGCTTTATAGGTCATAATCAACACCTTGAATTGGGCCCAGGCTTCAATGGGCAGCCAGTGAAGCTGACGGAGGACTGGAGTCATGTGAGCATAACGCCCCGTCCCCGTCAGCAACCTGGCAGCTCTATTTTGCACCAATTGAAGTGTTCGGACTGTCTTCAGGGGAAGCCCCACGTAAAGCGCGTTACAGAAGTCTAGGCGGGAAGTCACCAGAGTGTGTGTCACCGTCGCCAGGCAGTCGAACTCCAGGTAGGGGCGCAGCTGATTAATCAGCCGAAGCTGAAGGAAGGCGCTCCTCGCCACCGCTGTCACCTGAGCTTCCAAAGAAAGCTCCGGGTCAAGGAGTACTCCTAAGCTGCGGACCTTATCCCTAAGAGGGAGTGTTGCACCATTCAGGACCAGGTCAACTCCACCCTCTCCGAAGCCCGATCCGCCAACCAACAGGCTTCTCTTGTGGACTCCATCCATCTCATGGTCGGTCTTCCTTTTCTCCTTCTGCCTTTGAATTCCCCTAGATTAAATCTCTAGGTTAAATTTCCCTAGAGCTTAAATCCATGCTGAACCTTAAATATGATGGATAGCTGTAGGCAAAGCGCAAGGCTCTCAGGTCCAGTTTCTCAGCTGAACAGTTCATTCATTCATTCATTCATTCATTCATTCATTCATTCATTCTTTCACTGCATTTCTACAACCCAAGAGCTGAAAATGCGAGAGACGTGGGCAGAGGCGAGAAGAGCATCCATTCTTCCCAGCACCACCCAAGTCCTGCCGTGAATCCCCAGTCTCTGTCCTCTGGAGTAATCCAAATTAACTCCCATGTTTCAAATGAATAAACCATCACCGATTTTGTTCTTGCATTTCTTTGTAGCACCATGTGCACCGCTTCTTATTTTTATCGCTGCCGGTGCCGGCTGCAATAAGTTTGAACAGTGACAGCCAAGAATCAGGACTTTGCAGGAATGGCCCCCCGTAGGAGGGGACTTTTTCCTGGAGAGGTGATGAGGGTGTCAACTCTTCAGAAACTTTTCCAAAGGGGTGGGGGGCACAACACCTTTTATCGGTCTCGTGGCGGACAACACGGCTCTCTGCGTGGTTTTCCGCAGCTCTTCTTCAAATACCATGCACGAAGCCAGGCCAAGACCGAATGGGCAGTTTTAAAATAGCTGTTCTGTTATGTGGAACAGAATGTTATGCAGAATGCTAAGCTCCACTGAGGCTCCCACACCACCGCGGGCGGTGCAGCCGCCGCAAGGACACCGGCGGACGCCTCAGCCTCTTTCCAGGCTCAGAGTTTGCTTCGGCAGATGTCACCGCTATCACTCATCGCCATGAGCAACGGCAGTGTGAGGAAGGAGGCACCACCACATCTTCCTTCAGAGGACCCGCAAAAGTTCTGGAAAGCAAGTGTTTTTTATCTACACGCCGAGCCTTCCCAGGAAAGCTCTTAAAATATTTAATCACGTTTGTGGCTTGGAACCTGATCCTTGCTCATAAATGTACTCTAATTGCCTGGCAGGATTTGGGACAGTGGGACGGGTTTTGCCTCTCCTGCCCGAAAGAAGTCGTTTTCCATATGAATCAGCAGGGCCAGCCGAACTGGAAGGTCAGGAGGGCAACGGAGCAATAAGCCCTTGCTCTGGACACAAAAAGGCTGCTGGTTGTGTTATTCCAGCAGGGAGGGAGCAGCTGACAATAGACAAGGGCCCACAATTCACGGGCTCCTACATGAGGGCCGGCCGGCAGCAGGAGGTTATCCTGCGGAGAAGGGGCAGCACCGTCTGAGGGGGGGCAGAGCCGAAAGGTCCATCACCAGCCAGACCTCGTGGGCCAGCTGCAAGGGGTGGCAAGCTCCCAGAGCGACACAGAGACCAGGCAGCTTGAGTGCCAAGAAGCGTTCGGGCAAAGTCGAGAGCACGGGTGGAAAGGAAGCCTCACTGCACAGCCGTCCTGTGAGTTCTGCTCATGCGGGCAAAAATAAGGAGAAGAGCAACACCCCAGGCGCACGGGGAACGGCAAGGGAACGCTCGGGCTAATAAGCCCCTGGTCCCCTATGAGCCTGTTGCAATGCTGGGGGCATCTTTCGGAGGGTTTCCCTCGGGGCCACAACCTGCAAGGACAGATGGGTCGAACCCGGAGAAGGGGCGTTCTTGGCCGTGGTGCCCCAGCCGCAGAGGCACACCTGGCGCTGAACCTTCCACCTGCACTGCCAGGCAGACTCACCCCTTTTAATGCATTCAACAGGGCTGCCCCAGTTTCATGGATTCACAGAACAGCAGAGTTGGAAGGGGCCAAGGAGGACATCGGGTCCAACCCCCGGCTGCTGCAGGATGCCAAGCCAGCCCACCCCACTCAGATGACGTTCACCTCTGATGTCTCCAGTGCGGGAGAGCCCACGACCTCTCCTGGCAACTGGTTCCACTGCCATATTTCTCTGACAGTGAGGAAGCTCTCCAGGTGTCCAGCCTGAATCTGATGCAAGTTTCAGTCCGTTGTTCCATGTCCTACCCTCAGGGATGCGTGAAAAGAGAGTATTTGGGCTGCTCTGTGTCTTTGCTGGGACTAGAAATTAAAGGCAGTCCTGCAGCCTTTGCTTTAAACTGAAGGGCAACATATGAAGTAGTCTAAATTCAGACATGCACACAAAACGACCCAGCATTTGTTTGGTCTTCATAATGAGCCATCCACAACCCTACCCATCTCCAGCACTTTCCAAGCCTGTCTTTCCATGGAGAATGCAACCTTGGCACAACCCTGCTCGGAGGGAGCTGTGTCCATCTGGCAGCTGCAAGCCACAGACGTGTCCATCTTTCGTTGACATCTGATCCCGGAGAAGCAGATGAACTCCTGAACGAGTGCTGGTGAGCTGTGCAGAACTGGAAGGGACTGACAGGCTGGAGCTTAAACCAGACAGGATGGGTTGGTGAAGTTGGTAGGTGGACTTGGAGGCTGGGTGGCCAGGCTGCCTTGAATGGGGTTGGAATACTCCTCTGCGGTGGCGCCCAGATTATGGAATGCGCTCCCTGGAGAGGTGCGCCTGGCAATGAGTTTATATTCTTTTCAGCGCCAGGTTAAAACCTTTTCATTTAATTGCTATTTTAAAAACTAATATTTTGTCGTTAACAGTCACTCTTTTTGTTTTTGGTTTTATATAATC